CCCCAAAACCCCAAAACCCCAAAACCCCAAAACCCCAAAACCCCTTTTATAAAAGGGATAATGAATTCGACTAAATAATTAATATTTATAAAAGCTAAGATGGTAAGTTGTGTAGATCTAATGCTTATAGTCCGGTTATGACTCGTACACCACCACTTTTACTCCTGAAGGTAAGCACTGGGTTTAGCTCACTATTGAGACAGGCTCTCGCCGCTCTTTGTTTGTTAGTTGTGTTTTTGAGGGTGCATGGGCTTGTTATGAGCGCTGTGGAGTTTTCATACTTGGGAGAAGCTATTATCTTGGATTTGGGACAGAGTTGAGGGAGGGTGAAAGAAATATTATAAAGATAAAGACCAACAGAAGCATTAATAGGGTCTCCTTGTGTTGTTCAAAATCATGAGATCTTGATTCTTGAGCGATTTTAGATAGAGAGAGGTGCCTTCACTTGAGAAATTCAGAATTTATTCTTGAAATTAATCATAATTTTGTTCCTATCATGGGATAGATATAATACAATAAATCTAGAATGGCTATGCTTCAGAGCCTTGCAGCTTTGAGGCTTTTTAAAGGCCTTTAGTCTCACAGTTTTCTCTATTTTGAATTTTATCTATAATTTGATAATTATGCAAATTATTGTTGTAATCAGAATCTAAACTCTTAGATTGCCTTCTAACCATCACTTATAGGAAGACTTCTTCAGATTGAGTATGCAATGGAAAGGATCAACAAAGAAAAGCCTACTGTAGGAGTTTTGACTAAAGAAGGAGTCATCGTTGGAACAGAGAGAAAAGAGAAACATAAGCTTCAAGATGGAGTTAAGAACTCCTCTCACAAAATTGATGACCATATCTTCTGCTTTGTCTCAGGTAATACAGCTGATTCTACTACTCTTATTGATCAAGCCAGGCTCTTCTCTCAAAGGTTTACTTATACTTATAACAAGGAGGCCCCATGTGAGCAGGTAGTAAAAATGGTCTGTGAAGAGAAGCACTTCTACACACAATTCGGATCATATAGACCATTGGGAGTCTACTTCATGTATGCTGGCTATGATGATGTTGAGGGATTCCAGCTATATTCCTCTGATCCAAGCGGTAACTACAGCTCATGGAAAGCACACGTGACTGGTCAGAATGCAGTTGCTGCTTATGGAAGCTCAGGGTACTCTACCTCAATCAACCCACAGACAATTCTCAAATCTGATTATGATGAGGATATGAGTTTCAAAGATGGCTTAAAGCTTGCAGTGAAAGTTATTTATAAAGCAATCGACACTCATGAGCCAAAAGGAGATAGGTTCGAGGTAAACTACATCACAAAGCAAGATGGAAAGCTAGTTCAGAAGGAGCTCGACGATGAGACCCTCAATACTCTCATTGAAGAAATTAAGAAGGAGGAAGATGAGGAAAAGGAAAAGGAGAAGTAATCAACCATATATTGATAATTCAGCTATTCCTCAATAATAATTATTAGATTTGGGGTTTTGGGGTTTTGGGGTTTTGGGGTTTTGGGGTTTTGGGGTTTTGGGGTTTTGGGG